AGTATCGAGTGGATGGATTCTCCCTGTCTGAACAAGATCTGTGGGCTCTAAAGATCCACAAATCATGCTTCATACAGGAGTCCTTTCTCAGACACAGATATATAGCATACTATAGCATGATCTGTCCTGGGTGCCCGGGTTAGGTTTGAAAGTTTGGGGCCAGAATCGGCCCCGAAACCAGACCCTTCACCAGTTCCATCCATGGACAGAGCGTCTGCGCCTGTGGCGTCTTTCGCTTGATGTTTTGCCAAGCTGTACAGAAAAAAGACCGAGTTTGAACGTGGAGCGCTGGCGCCCTTTTGACTTCCCGTCTTCGTTGTTTTTTTTCGGTGAGTTGTGAAAACCAACTTAAGCTATCGTTGGGAGGGCCACATTCTTATTCATAATATTCATATGTTGACCCCGTAAGATCGTGGTTGATGGATCCAGAAGGCTTCATCTCCCAGAATCTCTATTGAAATATCACAGAGTGATGAATTCATCTGAAGCCCATCAACCCATATCAACCACCCCCAAAAACCACTCACTTTTTTTAGGTTTGAACACATACAAAGCCAGGTTTCCAGCCAGGTGATTTTGATTTTCATGACCTGGGCAGGATCTCTTGGCCCGCTGCGAGACAGAGGTGACCTCACCGAGTCTTGAGTATCCCTACTAAAAAAATGGGCTTATTTGAGCTTAGTGAATGATTATAAGTAATCCAGGTATGATGTATGTATTAACTATGATTAGATTCGATAGTTTTATATAGTATGAATATTATCCTGTAAGATGCATAATATATCATAATATGACAATATGATATGCCCCAGCTTAAAAATGGGGGCATGCCCCAAAATGACCCGTTCAATGAACCCGCGCGCTAGTACCCTACTTTCGGACCAAACCATGATCTGGTATCTGACACAATAATCAGGAATAATGAGGATAATCAGATAGTCACAGGATATATTTATATTATATATATACATTTACATACATCATAATCATAATACATACATATGTGATGGTAATATACAATCAACAACACGGGGTATATTGGATTTGTTTATACAACGGGGGATGGGAATGAAGAAATGAGGACTTAATCCTTGGTGACACCTGGAATCCAGTGGTGATTGATTTCTGACATTTCCTGATTTTTTCACTGAGACACCCAAAAATGGCTGTGGCTCAACAGTCTTGCCGCCCTCACTCAAGACAATCACGATCTCGATGGGTCTGTTTAGACCTTCCTTTCTGAGGTGTAATGTAGTCACCGAACAACGACCTCACCAAATATGATGTTCCGTGGGGGGGAAAACATCCCCAATATATTTAGTATAGTTATCAGCATTATCAGGATTTGTGCGGACCTTTGCGTCTTATCAGGCACTCCCCCATAGCCCCACTTGCGAAATCGCCGTTTTCTTTTCTGCAGGCGGAGGCTAGCCCAAGTCTAACTGAGGTGCTGAAAGCTGACTTTGGCTGGGATGTCTCGACGTAGGAGGAGTCTTTGGATCCTGCAGGTTTTGTTTGGATGCTCATTGTCCTTCTTGCTACAGGCATTGCCAATTTGCGGGGGTCTATCCACTTTCCAGACGCACCTGTATGTGTCAATGGTTTATCAAAGATGCGCTGGGACAACCCGCTCTGAATGAGTGTGCCATGGTCCCTTTCAACATGAAATTTGACCATCAAATAGAGGGCATCATGGATATAGTGATGTACCATGATATACCATGGTATACCAACTGTCAACCACTGATCTGGGGGTAGATGGTGGTTTCCGGTATTTGGAAACTGTGATGATGGTTGAGACTGCCAAGTAACAGTCCGTGGATTGCAGCTCGTATGATTAATTCATATAAACAATCCCTAAGTACCCTGAGACAGTGTATATATATATATATCAGATAGATAGGCTTATAGTGGATTATACAATTGCATTAGCATGTACAGTCAATGATGTCAATAATTTTGGGGTTAAGTAGCTTCTCAGGAAGGACGTGAATCGATAGGGAAGAGCATGTTTCAGTGAGAAAGATGGGGTATTCGAAGGTCTTGTGAGTTGAACAAAACTGGACGCTTCAGATGAAAAACTACTAGTGTCATCTAGTGTCCAAAAGCATCTATAAGCCAACACTTCCGCATTGGACTTCGTGACTCCCTCTCCACCCGCACACAGGTGCCACACCCTAAAGAGGCGGGATTTGGTGGAGTGCACATGGGACATATCCCCATTTTATGGCACTTTTTAGCTGGCAATACTTGATGTTTGAATAATAAATATATATATATATATACAATATATATATATATTATAAATAGTGTTAATAAGTGGATCTGGGGAATTTCATATATTTTGTCGATTTTCGCACAAAGACACTTGCTTACTGCTGGGTGTAAAACCCAGGGTCGACTTCATTCTTTAAAAATCCAGGATCACTGATCACTCGATTTCAGGCGTAAGGCACGTGTGCCAAATCGAAGCCTTGACATGGTCCCACGCCGAAAAGGAATAACCTTCACAAATTATTCGTAAGGAGCTCGAAGCCAATTCCTTTTTATAGTCAATATAGAACTAATGACCTGCACTGTAAACGCTACCATAGCAAGATATACAGTAGAGTGTATATAGACTTGACGTTTAAACACTATAGTTCTATTGTATCCTATTGTCATTATAGTTCGTATAAAACTCATGACTTTTGGGTTGGGGGCCATTTCGGCCTTAGGGAGATTTTAAATGAATGGTAATTATGGGATTATACCTATAGGTAATATACTGTATATATATATATATGTAGTATGTGTATAAATATATATATAGATCGGTAGTCGAAAATTCCACACCCTCACGTATGAATGTTATGTGTAATGTTATGTAATGATACTGTGTAATACTACTGTATAGTTAATGCATGTGAATAGCGTTTTTTGGTTGGCTGCAACCCTCAACCCTAGACATCCCTAGACCATTGGGGTGAACTGGGCAGTCTTTCCATAGGCCTCCTTGATCCCTCCAAGTGGCGATGCTCAGCATGGCAGCTGCGGGAGTTTTTGCTATGTCCAGGACACATTGGATGGAAAATAGCGATACACCCCTGACATGCCACTTGGGACCCGAAAAAACCGCGTCGCTTTGGAGGGTTTGTTCCTTTGTGTCCATTTTGGGAGTTCCGTATTTTCTTTTTCTGGAGTGTCTTTGGTATTTGACCTGACATAGGTCAATCCCAATTTCGAGAATTACAAGCATGGAAATTAATCTGCAAGAAACCATTGCCATGTCGTTGACCCGGGGGTAGGTGGTTTTCAAGAGTTTTGCAACACATTTGACAATATTTGACGCATATATGTAGGTCCAAGTCAAATTGTGTAAGAACCCAAAGATGGGATGGGTTGCTGGCAAAAACCGACCAGATTTCAGCAAAGACTCACGTCGGATAGGTGCCACCAGACCAAGCCACCCCTGACTATCCACTTTTACATAACATTGTATAACTGTATAACTATAATTATAGAGAAGGCTAGAGTTGCTCAGCAGCTGAAGTACCTCGTGCAAGCACTGTGCTGGACCGATATACTTGGGGATTGCATCTTTGCTTTATTTTGTTACACGGACCAGTCACAACTAGGCAACCAATACCCAAAAGGGCCACTTGAAGGATCATCCTAATTGGTACTGGACGTGGTTTCTATTTTTTTTCATAATTACTGGTTGGTGGTTTGGAACATTTGGATTATTTTGGATTATTTTTCCCATCATATTGGGTTCATGTCATCATCCCAACTGACTTTCACTCCATCATTTTTCAGAGGGGTAGGTCGACCACCAACCAGAACAGACAGGTCTTGTGGGTCCTTCTAGCCACCAGGGGCAGCTCTGCAGGTGACCCACACAGTCCCTGTATTGCGAGCAACGGGCCATGTTTTGGTACCCGGGACCCACCAGATCTTGGGCGTGTCTCCAAGGTCTCTACACTTCTCCTTTATACCTGGATTTGGAGGCCGAGGCCCAGATCTCGCCATGTGCCCGAAATGGATGATCTTGCGTAAGAAAAACATAGGAAAACACAGTCTTCATCCTGATTAAATCAAGCCTCATGAATTAAAGCCTTATTCATCCATATGTGACCGTTGCTAAAGCCTTCTAAACTTTGTGGAAGCCACTTGTCATTTCCCAGCCGCTGGCCACTGGTCAGGCAGGAGAAGTGGATCATCAGCTCTGCAGGCCCCAGAGGTTGTGGGCTTTTTTTTTACTTGTTACTTGTTCACTGATATGTTTTCATGGTTTCCTTTTTTTTGGCTGGTTTCAGGTCTATTTTTTTCAGGTCTATTTCATGGATCTTATTTCCCCGTGAGACCCGCATATTATCGCATATTCTGATTTCCCTTCACATATTTTAAAGGTGACGTGTTCCATATGACATGATATGGCTATGGATCAATATCTATAAATAGCATTTTTAGGTGGATGAACGTCCATTTAAAGCTATTTTGATGCTCACCAGGGGTAAGGTTTTGACCCATTCCCTTAAATGACCAATAATGAACTGCAATCTAGCCAGAAGCAAGACCTGGCTTGGGGGCACTACATACATTGTAATTCTAAATATGTTTGAAGCAGCTTCAGGCTCATGTAGCCACTCAAACACACGGCGGTCACACCCGCACCAGTAGGCCTTTTAGCAACAGGGGATAGGCAATCCATCGCATGATATGTTGGAGACCCAAGCGATATGGCTGTTGAAGTCAGAGAAACAAAGGCAAACAGTAGATTATATATACTGTATATATAACTTATATAAACACTGTATATATATATATATATATGTATATAAACATCTAAAGCACAAGGAACCACAATGCTCAGCTGAGGTACTCTTCTGAAAAAAAAAATAGCATGAACCATGGAAAGACTGGGGGATCCGGTTTCGCGATTCCGTCTGAGCATCAGATTGGAAGCTTCACGGCGTGTATTGCGGAAGGAATGGTGGAGACAGCTGGTGGTTTGGGTGATGTCGTTTGCTGAAGTCACTGCAGTAACTATTGTCCCGGGACTCCATTTGGTCACGTCTCCATACGTCACAATGGCAGTGCTGCTTCTTATGGTTCAGCTTTCATGCTGGCGAGCAGGCAGTTTTGTTGATCCGTTTTTGCACCCGGTGCATGTGTTGCGCCCCAAGCATTATTCAAGGTTCGGTCTGGGAGAGCATCAGAGAGCATGCTCATTTTTCGGCATCACATCTTTGGGGATTCGTCTTGCCTGCAGTGTGGCCTACACTGGCATTTTTTTGCTGTTTGTAGTGTACCGTGTTGAACCCATACTTTGTACAGAAAGATCCTTGGTTGAAGCACACTGGGCTTACTACTACAAATCAGAAATTGACTCCGACCTCAAAAGGTGCAATGCGCAAAGCAACAATGTCAACAGCACAGCATGTCGCACCATTCGTGATTTTGAGAGAAGGTGCCATGATCCCGCCTGGTGGTCCGAACATCTGCGCAAGCAGGCCTTGGAAGAAGTCGGTTTGGCATGTGACCGCAAGACCCATGAGGTCACGAACTTTGCCCCATTTCTGGCAATGGGATACATCAAAGCCCAATACTGCATGGCTGCCAATGGGACCCAATTCAACTGCACAGAATCTGCAATGCCCATGGATACGAAACGTGACTTGGATCTCGGAATTTGGACTTCGGGCGAGATAACACTTGACCAAGTGTGCACTTCATGGCCTCCAGCGCCTTTCCAGTACTACTGCAACATTCTATTCGATAGCACTGGCTTTTGTAGTTCTCCTGATGAAAAATCCTTGGTTTGGGACTCGATCCTTTCCCGGTCTTGTGAACTGCACGAATGTGCTGCCCTATTGTCTGATTGGCTTCAGGACACACTGGTCAAGTCAGAGAAGCTCAATTTGTGCGATTGCAAATCTTGTAAGCATTGGTCCAGGACGACCATTTGTACGCTAGAGGAGGTAGACATTGCAAACCGCAGACGCGCTGGTTTGCCTGAGTATATCAGTCTAGATATAGGCATGATGGCAGGTGATCCATGGTATGGAGTACAGGTCTTTGCTGTTATGCTCATGGTGGCTTGGCCACTGATATGGTGTTTCGCCTCAGCGATGTTTTGCTGCTGCAGTGGAAATCCCTTCGCAGTGCCGTCGAATGCGGAACTTCAAGAAAGCATAGTTGCAGAAGAAGTGGCACTTCGCAATGAGCTTCGATCCAATGGCTACATTGCAAGATCACCTGGCTTCAATAGGCTTTTCATGCTCATCGAACTAGGTTTCTTTGTGGCTGACATCATATTGGACTGTCAGATGTTCTGGTTGTACCAGGACAGGCAGCATTACTGGTTCGCAGCGGCACAGGGTTTTATCATTTTGCGAACAATCATTGATTTGTCTCTGAATCACGTTGTTTGTTCCTACAGGCTTCTGGCTGATATTTGGCATTCTTTCAGGACGAATTTACGAACGGATTCTGTTTTGTTACTTGTGCAAAGCGAGAAAACAGGCGAAGCAGTCCTTTCAATGTTTCTTCAAGTCTACGGTCTGTTTTACGTCACTGACCACACAAGCTATTGGACCGCAAGCTTGTCATTGATCCTGAGTGCTGGTGGCATCACCTACGGATGTTACATTTATTTTGATCTTGCTGTGGTTTTTGGCGAGACATGCGCAGAGATCGTGCCTTCACAAGAAGCTGCAATCGAGCTGGAACCTGCTCAGGTAGAGAGCCCAATATCGTCACCGCCTCAGGCACCACCGATGATGAGTGTCGAACCTGTTTCGAAAGGCAACAAGGACAAACTTGAGGTCCATAATGCTGAAAAGTTCCAAGATGAAATCAAGGCGTTCATCACTCGGAACTCAAAAGTGGTACCAGCTCAAGCGGAAAATCCTCAAGGCGCAGCTCCAACCTTAGTTGGTGCTAGTAGCAGTTTCAGCATCATCATTCCAAGATCCAGCAGCACCATGCAGCACCTTCAGTAATCCTATACGAAGACGAAGTTGTTCTTAACGTAACCTTTTTAGCCTGTCCAGACAGGAAACCTGTGTTGGAGGGCGCCCACGCATCACATTACGCAAGGACATCGCAATTCACAAAAGTTTTAAACATGATGTCCCTAAACTCCAGGAGCCACCAGTATGGGTGTGACGAGATCAGCGCGAGATTTGTCGATGCGGTGGCCAAAATATGTCTGCTCGCAGGGAAAGGTGAGACATAGTTCCTCACTTTTGAGGAAGGTTCCTAGGTGGGTTTCCAAGTAGGAGATCCACAAGAGAGAAAAGGATTGATTTGGGATTTGCCACAAGTTCTTGGGCACACAGTGAGTCTGCCGTTTTTGATTTCGTTTTTTTTTTGCGCCCCAAATCGAACTAAGGGGGTTGTATTGCTGGCACTTCGCACCAGGCCCTTGGAAGAGTTACAAGAGCATCTGGCCAACATCAGGAGCCTGGGCCAGGGCTTGTCAATATCCAAAATGGCACTAGCTGAATGGGGAAAAATGATGGGGAAGATGGTTTTGACAAAAGACTGGTTTTTTGGGATGTTTTTGGGGATTACCGGATTACCCCATTTTTGGACCCAACTGAGAGGAATTCCATTGTTGTGTGATGGTTTTTGACCATGACCCCCTGCGGTTTCCTAATGTTTCCTGGAGGAAATCATCGAGAACCATCGGTAGCCCCTCTGATGGCAGAGGTTCAATCGATTCTTAGGTGTGTAAACCTTGGATATAAGATCGGCCAGGGTTCATGGGCCTTGTAAAATCCTAACAGAGAAGGCTTTACCACTTTGCCAGATATGACGTCACTGGCATCACCCGAAATGTTGCAGATCAGGCGAGGAAATAATTGTTATTGGAGGATTGGAGGGGTATTTTTTGTTTTTTGTTGGTAATAGTTTTTTTTTTGGTCCTGGCTCCTGGTGGCTTCTGTGGCTTCTATGGCTTCTATGGCCTCTACGGTCCTGGCTCCTGGTGGCTCCTGGTGGCTCCTGGTGGCTTCTGTGGCTTCTGCGGCTTCTATGGATTCTATGGCTCCTGGCTCCTATGGCTCATCTATCATCTATCGATCAATCTATCAGTGAAGCATGTTCACCAGGTGCATGTTGTGCATTAGATACACCTTGAGTATCATCTATCTACCTACCTACCTTCCTACCTAGCTATCTATCTATTTATATCTATCTATCTATCTATCCATCTATCTATCCATCCATCCATATCTATATCTACATCTATATCTACATCTATATCTATATGTGTTTAATCTCTATTTTATTTTTATCTATCTATATCTATCTATATCTATCTATATCTATCTATATCTATCTATATCTATCTATATCTATCTATATCTATTTATATCTATATCTGTCTATATCTATCTATATCTTCACCGACATCTATATCTACATCTATATCCAATAATCTATATCCAATAATCTATATCTAATAATCTATATCTAATAATCTATATCTAATAATCTATATCTAATAATCTATATCTAATAATCTATCCATCTATCTAGCTATCTATCTATCCATCTATCCATCTATCCATCTATACATCTATCCATCTATCCATCTATCCATCTATCCATCTATCTATATATCTATCTATCCATCTATCCATCTATCTATCTATCTAAAAGGTTTGCATTATCATCGAGATGATATTCAAACCCCAAGCCAACCCTGAACCAAGCCAGAATATACAGTACACCAACCGTATAGAGATCCTAAACCAACACGATGATGCCTAACCTACATTCCACATGTTTTCAGGGTGCATGTCGTGTAGTATGTACACCTTGCTGCGCGCAGCCGTGCCAGTGCGTTTTGTCACAGCCGGTTGCAAACCCGCAAAGCAGGAGCGTCACACAAAATCGACCAACGTTCACGCAGAACGCCTCAGTCTTTTAACGATTTTTATGTGCATATTCTGCGGACCTCATCTTCCAAAAGTCGGAACGTGACAGTTTTTAAACGTATTGAAGTGCAAATCGAGTTCTCGCTACAGTCTGGTGCAGATGTTGCCGGCCTGATCTTCCAAAAGCGCTCCGCGGCTGTCACTTTTTTATCCGTTTTGAAAACATTGAGTTTGCGCTACAGTCCTGTGTGCTTTTTGTCGACAACTTTCGCAGATCGAGCCCCGCACCCGCGGAAACAGAGGCCCTACTTCGGCAACCCCAGGAGCCACATTACAGTATTAGTACCGTACCTAAAATTCAGCACAGGTTTTTGCGCCGACAATGTTTTCACCGTGAATTCACACGCTTCCAAACTCTTACACTTCTCATCTACTTGATGATGGTTGATGGTGTGGTTGACATGACGGCGAGCATGACAATCGTCCAGCTAAACTTTCCTTTGATAAGTCGTCGATTACTCATCATCTTTCCATGTTTTCTATATTTTGCACGTTTCCCTTTTTTCCATGTTTTCTTTTACTGATCTGAATTGCCATAATTACATTGCTCATTTTTTCAAGGAGCTGCGCGCTGGCATTAGCTCCGCCTCCGGACGATGTGGGCGGCGTGCCTGGGTCTGGAAGATGGGAATAATAGTGATGGAAAGATCAGATGAGAAGTAATATAGCTATATTTCTTTTTGGTATTTTTGTATCTGAGTCAACCTTGGTTAGATATTTTATATAGTACTTTAACCTTTTTGATATTGATGGTAAACTGTACAAACCAGCTAAAACAATAGATTTTTTGACGGGTATCTAAGATTCACCATGATATCAATACTAATGGTTGACTGCCCATGAGCTAGCGCGGAAGAGTCCATAGTAGTATGAGGGTAACGGTGGTACGTTGTGACGTAAGATGGTTGTAAGAAATTATACGTATTATTATTATTATTATTGTATAAGTTACCCCTTGTTAAGGGCTACCACCTCCTGCCGCCCGGGGTCCGGCAGGAAAATGGTACCGCACCATAGGTAGCAGCCAAGCTTCCGAAGGTGAGGCTTCACCACGGCTTCGCCACAGCCAAATACCATGGTCTTGAAGCACATCCGTGCACCTGCCGCTGGTACTGCCTCACGTTGCTTTCTGACATCTCAAGAAACAAGCTCCAACACGGTAGCCAAGCTTCCAAAAGTGAGGCTTTGCGAGAGCCAAACACCAAGGCCCCTGGTGTTTGCTTTTCCTTTGATGTGCCCCCTGCTGATGGCTGGGGTCTGCGGATAGGGGTATTTTCGCGAAAGTTCTGCGAAAGAGTGGGCGAAAGTCAACATGCATTTTGAAGGGAGTGGCCTTGTAAGCCTTGGAAAATTGACCTAATCAGCAACAACCTGTCCTGAGAAGGGGGTTCCGTGATGCTAGCTGCATGTTTACAAGGCTATGAAGAAGTTATCCGTGATAATTTTGTGTGATTTGGCAGGTGATGAAAGAATCTTCATAAGAGGAATTGCTGCTCAACATGGATACCGCGAAAGATAAGCATGGAGTTCGCGAAAGATTTGCGAACGATTTTTATTCGCGAAGATTGGTCGTTCCCGGACGAAGGAATTTTGATCAACCATCACATATACATATACATGTGTATACATGTAACATCATGTAACACAGATTTACCCTCTGATAATTTAACATTGCTATTGAACATGGCAATGTATAGCTGATCTTGCTATTAAGATGATTTTCCATCGCCATGTTAAGTTACCAGAGGGTATGTGTGTTCAAAAATACATGAATAAATAAATATGTGCATTTTTTGTTTTATAAATTTATGTATATATGTAATGTAATGTAATGTTATGTAATGTAATATAATGTAATGTAATGTAATGTATTTATGTATGTATGTAAGGTGTTTATGCATGTATGTATGTAATGTAATGTTATGTAATGTAATGTAATCTAATGTAATGTAGCGTCATGTAATGTAGTGTAATGTATGTAGTGTATGTAATGTAATGTTATGTAATGGTATGTAGTTGTATGTAATGGTATGTAGTTGTATGTAATGGTATGTAATGGTATGTAATGGTATGTAATGGTATGTAATGGTATGTAATGGTATGTAATGGTATGTAATGGTATGTAATGGTATGTAATGGTATGTAATGGTATGTAATGGTATGTAATGGTATGTAATGGTATGTAATGGTAATGTATGTATGTCTGTATGTATGTATGAATGTAATGTATGTATGTATGTAATGTAATGTAATATAATGTAATGTAATGTAATGTAATGTATTCAATGTATGTAATGTATGTAATGTATGTAATGTATGTAATGTAATGTAATGTAATGTAATGCAATGTAATGTAATGTATGTATGTATGTATGTATCTATGTATGTATCTATGTATCTATGTATCTATGTATCTATGTATGTATCTATGTATCTATGTATGTATGTATGTATGTATGTATGTAATGTATTAATGTATTAATGTATTAATGTATTAATGTATTAATGTATGTATGTATGTATGTATGTTAAAAAATGTCAAAAATGTCAAAAATGTCCAAAATGTCAAAAATGTAAAAAAATGTAAAAAATGTAAAAAAAAAAAGGCGTTTTGAAAATGCGCCTCGAAAAAAATGTGAAAAAATGTGTTTTGAAAATGCACTTGAAAAAAATGCGAAAAAAATGGTGAAAAACATGCGAAAAAAATGTGAAAAAATGCGAAAAATGTGAAAAAAAAACGTTTGAAAATCCAGTTGGGAAGGTGGAACTCTGATTTCTTCTTCTTCAGGTTTGATTTTTTGGGGTTCCAGTTTTGCTGCAGTTACTTTGCTGCCTGCCCAACTTCTGCAGGTTGAAAATCGGAGAGGAGCAGTTCAAATCGATCGGAAGTGGACTGTGCAGATCGCAGATCTGTTAAATTTAGCTATAGCAAAACAATGACTACCAGGAGCAAAACATAAGAAAACAAAACCTCAAAACTGCTTTAAAAAATACATGTTTTTTCACATTTGTTCACATTTTTTTCGCATTTTTGAAATGCATTTTTCTCACATTTTTTAAAATTGCATTTTTGAAACACATTTTTTCACATTTTTAATTAACCATTGTTTTCAGGCTTGTAGCTGGAAACGGCCATGACAAATGTAATGTATGTAATGTATGTAATGTATGTAGTGTATGTAATGTATGTAATGTATGTAATGTATGTAATGTATGCGATGTATGTAATGTATGTATGTATGTGATGTAATGTAATGTAATGTAATGTAACGTAACGTAACGTAATGTAATGTAATGTAATGTAATGATGTATGTATGTATGTATGTATGTATGTATGTATGTACGTACGTGCGTATGTATGTATGGATGTATGTTAGTTATGTTATGTTATGTTTTGTTATGTTATGTTATGTTAGTATGTTAGTATGTATGTATGTATGTATGTATGTAATGTATGTATGTATGGATGGATGGATGGATAGATGTATGTATGTATGTATGTATGTGATGTATGTAATGTATTCAATGTATGTAATGTATGTATGTATGTATGTAAGTATGTATGTATGTATGTATGTATGTGTGTATGTATGTATGTATGTATGTATGTATGTATGTATGTATGCATCTATGTATCTATGTATCTATGTATCTATGTATCTATGTGTGTATCTATGTATGTATGTATGTATGTACGTACGTATGTATGTATGTACGTACGTATGTATGTATGTACGTATGTATGTACGTAATGGTATGTAATGGTATGTCGTGGTTATGTTTGTATGTATGTATGTACGTATGTATGTATGTAATGGTATGTAATTGTATGTAATGGTATGTAATTGTATGTAATGGTATGTAATGGTTATGTATGTATGTATGTATGTAAGTATGTATGTAATGTAATGTCATGTCATGTCATGTCATGTCATGTAATGTAATGTAATGTAATGTATGTATGTATGTTTGTAATGGTATGTAATGGTATGTAATGTTATGTAATGTTATGTAATGGTATGTAGTTGTATGTAATGGTATGTAGTTGTATGTAATGGTATGTAATGGTATGTAATGGTATGTAATGGTATGTAATGGTATGTAATGGTATGTAATGGTATGTAATGGTATGTAATGGTATGTAATGGTAATGTATGTATGTCTGTATGTATGTATGAATGTAATGTATGTATGTATGTAATGTAATGTAATATAATGTAATGTAATGTAATGTAATGTAATGTATTCAATGTATGTAATGTATGTAATGTATGTAATGTATGTAATGTAATGTAATGTAATGTAATGTAATGTAATGTATGTATGTAATGGTATGTAATGGTATGTAATGGTATGTAATGTTATGTAATGTTATGTAATGTTATGTAATGGTATGTAGTTGTATGTAATGGTATGTATGTATGTATGTAATGGTATGTAATGGTATGTAATGGTATGTAATTGTATGTAATGGTATGTAATGGTATGTAATTGTATGTAATGGTATGTAATTGTATGTAATGGTATGTATGTAATGGTATGTATGTATGTAATGGTATGTATGTATGTATGTAATGTAACGTAATATAATGTAATGTAATGTATGTATGTATCTATGTATCTATGTATCTATGTATCGTTGTATGTATGTATGTATGTATGTATGTATGTATATGTTGACACAGTTGACTTGATAGAGTATGTATGTACCGCTGTACACAGAGAATTTTGTCAAACCCAGCAGCAATATATTTTTTGGGCACGGCCAAACAAGTATATCCTGTAAGGATGTTTTACTTCCCACATGGGTTTATTTATGTTGTTTCCAGGTAGAACTTTCTAAATCCCGTGTGTGTTTCCTCCATATTCTTCCATGCCTTTTCCATCCATTTCCCCAACACTACTGGACCTACAAAACCTCAAAAAAACATGGAATTTCGTGGAAACTCATCCAACCCCCAGGTGTTTGAACTCCCTTTGTTGATCCGATCCGATTTTATATTACCGATGCTGAAGAAAGCGGGCCTGTCTCCAAGGCGCAGGCTCTCCAAATTGTCTCGGCACCTTGGCTGCAGTATCTTCGGAACAGGAAGATCCGTGACTAGCCATCATTTTGGGTAGATCTTTCAAGAAACCTGTGCGGACACCAGGTGGGCAGAACATTTCGGGTCTCTGAATATCTTAGATTTCGTATGAGTTCATATTGTCGAAGGAAGTTTAGAAGTCAAACTTCCGACAATCTGGACAGATTTTAAAGCAGATGTGAAAAGAGTCAGAGAAGAGAAGAGCAGAAAAGAGAAGATCAGAGAAGAGAAAGAGTCAGAAGAAAGAAGATGCAGGTGCGCGAAAAGGTAGAAAACTCGCGAAACACTGTGTTGTTCCAATGGTTTGTGGCTCCGGAGGGTCGAAAAGTAGGCTCGCTAAAGCGGCGGGTGCGGAGCCATGTGGCCAGCTAAGAGGTGAAAAATTGCACGCCGTCGTGGCGCGAAGCACATTAGGAAGTCAAAATGTCCAAAACACACCATTCTCGGACCACTTTTGGAAGTTGACATGTCGGAAAAGTGCACGCCGTTGTGGCGCGGAGCACTTTCGGAAGTTGCGATGTCGAAAAAGTGCACGCCGTTGTGGTGCGAAGCACATTTCGAAGTCACAATTTACAAAACACCGCAGCCTCGGAGCACTACACTAATTACATTACATTACGCTACAGCTACAGCTACAACTGCAGCTACAACTACCACTACATTGCGCTACACTGCGCTACACGATTTACATTACACTACGCTACAACTACAACTACACTACTTCACAATACACTAGACTAGACTACACTACACTATACGACACTACAGTACACAACACTACAGTACACTACAATACACTACACTACATTACACTAATTACACCACAACTACAACTACAACTGCAACTACACTACACTAATGACACTACATTGCAACTACAACTTACAACTGAAACTAGACTACACTAAGTACATTACATTACAGCTACAACTTACAACTACAACCCCACCACACTACACTACAACTACAACTCCGCTACACCACACTAATTACATCCAGCAGTTGTGGTGAGGTGACCACTGCAACCATGGCGACCACTCCAAAAAACACAACTCCAACCACCTTCCGGTCCATCAGTGGATTCGCTCTGCCATCCGTGATTCACAACAACCAACCTCTCCTATAGGTTTCCTATTTTTGAAACTTCCGCCACCGCCTTGTATTATAAGTGCTACAATGAAATAATTTGTTCCTCCAGAATTTGAACATTCCAGTGTTTTTTTCAAGTATTGTAGAAACATTGGGTCGGGAAAATGGTTTGTTTCAAGTTGTGAATGATGATGGTAGTTCGTCCATTTTTTTGCAGCAGAGATCGCATCTCCTTTCCACAGGTGGGGAGTTATGAGTCGTGTTTCTTGACTGTGGACTGACATCCTGGTTGCTGGTAGATGGAAGTAGAATCCCTGAATATCTGCCGAACATCTATATCATTATGCAATATCTGATATTCCATATCATATCCATACATAATATATCATGATATAATCCCATATCATCATGAAAGTAAAAAATTACCTGAACCCCATTGAACGTTCATTCACATTTTGTGTTCTTGAGGCTCCAGTTTCTCCTTTGACATCAGGTGGGACTGGGCAAATCATGTTGCGACCAAGGGCACCGACATCAACAGAAATGACGATCTGATACAGCCGAAAACATCTAGAATGGCGAGTGTTTGACACTTAAGAAACATTAATTACGATTTGCAGGGATAGCATAGTTGCCATGATTAGGAACTCGATCAATATCCAAATATGTCGAACTGGACTTTGCCGGGCACTGTTTGATACTAGGAATTTGGTGCGGTTGATGGAATCACTATGGACCCGACATATAAAGATGTCAAATTCACCTCTCATACATCCTTCTTTAAAAAATGGGGCATTGATTGATTGTATATTTTTGAATGGAGAATCTCAGTTTGGAAATTGCATTACAACTCATTACATTAATCCTTGGGATCCTGGGGTATCTTGGCATAATCTTTTAGTCCCAAGATCTGGACAAATTCTCGCCAGTTGTGGGTCAAGAACCATCACCGTGACGGAACTCAGAGGGCCAAAGGGTGACAGGGTTGCCTGGGCATCCACCAATCGCGTGTTGATGCCGAGCTCAGCCGGGATTCCAGTCGGATTCCAGCCTGTCTGCATCCCCATCCAATGGCGCCGTGAGTCGTAGGAACAACGTATGTCCAATTGGTCAAAACTGGGGTCTAAAAGCCCAGTCAGCCCAGTCAGCCGGATTTCCATATGAATGGATATAAATGGGTGTATTTATTGGTAAGAACTACAATGTGGGTAAAACAATAATAAACCATCCCCCAAATCACAATTTTTATAGGTTCTATAAACCATTCCCAGTCATGGGTGGTTTATGACATTGTTTTAACCACATTATGGGAAACCAGGCTTTCGGGAGCCAAGGTCCTCGGCTCCGGAACTGGGCAAAGACAAGGCGGAAGTTTGGGTTGAGAACAAAACCATGGAAAAAACACCAAGAGACTGAACAGTCTAAATGTGATATAGAAACCCAATTTCATCAAATATGTGAAGTCTGAAAAGTCATGAAAAGTCTAAATGTGGTATGTAGACCCACTTTCATAAGATATTCCCTAAAATTCGCCATGTTTATGGGTTGTACAAATATCTCCAAATGGTAGGGTTATGGAATTGGGTTGCCCATATTAAGAATCTTGAGAAAGGTAGACATTCAGACTGGAGCGTTTTTCAGAGGCCATCTCTTCAATTCCAGGCTTCAAAACTCACGTGAGGTCTGTGTCAACCCATTGAATGGCTTGAAACCACAGTTCCTCCTATGTATATAAATGGTAATCCCAATGAGAAGCCACACGCGATTTCATATTTTTTGGGATATTTTGGACATACTATAAATATAAGTATTAATATATATATATATAATGTAGGATACAGATTAGTGTGGGGAGGCCCCCCCCCTTCACAAATTTTGGATACAGAATAGTGTGGAAAAACAAGATACCGGGTACGCAATACGGTGAAATCAAAAAAACATGATAGATTTAAATTGATTTCAATTTACTTTGAATTGAATTCAATTTACTTTCAATTGATTTCAATTTACTTTCAATTGATTTCAATTTACTTTCAATTGATTTCAATTTACTTTCAATTGATTTCAATTTACTTTCAATTGATTTCCTTTTACTTTCAATTGATTTGAATTTACTTTGAATTGATTTCAATTTACTTTCAATTGATTTCAATTTACTTTCAATTGATTTGAAGTTACTTTCAATTGATTTCAATTTATTTTGAATTGATTTCAATTTACTTTCAATTGATTTCATTTTTTTGAATTGATTTCAATTTACTTTCAATTGATTTCAATTTACTTTCACTTGATTTGAGATTACTTTCAATTGATTTCAATTTACTTTCAATTGATTTCAATTTACTTTCAATTGATTTCAATTTACTTTCAATTGATTTCAATTTACTTTCAATTGATTTCAATTTACTTTCAATTGATTTCAATTTACTTTGAATTGATTTCAATTTACTTTGAATTGATTTCAATTTACTTTCCATTGATTTCAATTTACTTTCAATTGATTTCAATTTACTTTCAATTGATTTCAATTTACTTTCAATTGGTTTCAATTTACTTTCAATTGATTTCAATTTACTTTCAATTTACTTTCCATTTACTTTGAATTGATTTCAAATTACTTTGAATTTACTGTCAATTGACTTCAATTTACTGCCAATTTACTTTCAATCGACATCCCATAGAAATCCAATAGTAGTCCCAAAGAAATATCATAGAAATACCATGGAAATCCCATAGGAATCTCACAGACATCCCATAGAAAGATCATAGAAATAACATGGAATAGCATAGGAACCAGAAAAGAAATCCCATGAGAATTCCAATAATAATCCCATAGAAATATCATAGAAACATCATGGAAATACCTTGGAAATCCCACAGGAATCCAATAGAAATTCCATAGGAATCCAATAGAAATACCATAGGAATCCAATGGAAATCCCATAAGAATACCATAGAACACCCATAGCACCCCTTCAGAAATCCCATAGAAATCCTCCAGAAATATCATAGAAACATCATAGACACCCCATAGGAATTCCATAGAAATCCAATAGTAATACCATAGAAATACCATAAAAGAAAAAAGCTTTAGCAAAGGAAAAGGTAAAGGGAATGCTTGAAAAAAAATCACACCAGGAAGCATCTGGACACAATAGTGTACCCTCCAACAAACCACACTATTGTGTATCAGGGTTGCTCATGGACTACCCCCTTGAAAAATTGTTTGAGTGATGATTTTTAATTGGGTTTTAATAAGGCATCATATATTTTGGAAAGCTGGGCATTTCTGAGAATTTCAAATGAAAGAAACTAAGAAAGTAATTAGGTAATTAAAAGAAAAAACTTTAGCAAAGGAAAATGTAAAGGAAATGATTGAAAAAAAACAAAAAATCATGGCCTCAGGAAAGCAGCTGGACACAATAGTGTACCCTCCAAACAAACCACACTATTATGTATCAGGGTTGCTCATGGACTACCCCCTTGAAAAATTGTTTGAGTGATGTTTTTTAATTGGGTTTTAATAAGGCATCATATATTTTGGAAAACTTGGCATTTCTGAGAATTTCAAATGAAAGAAACTAAGAACGTAATTAATTAAAAGAAACAACTTTAGCAAAGGAAAAGGTAAAGGAAATGATTGAAACAAACAAAAAATCATGGCCTCAGGAAAGCAGCTGGACACAATAGTGTACCCTCCAAACAAACCACACTATTATGTATCAGGGTTGCTCATGGACTACCCCCTTGAAAAATTGTTTGAGTGATGATTTTTAATTGGGTTTTAATAAGGCATCATATATTTTGGGAAACTGGGCATTTCTGAGAATTTCAAATGAAAGAAACTAAGAACGTAATTAATTAAAAGAAACAACTTTAGCAAAGGAAAAGGTAAAGGAAATGATTGAAAAAAATCAAAAAAACATGACCTCAGGAAAGCAGCAGGACACAATAGTGTACCCTCCAAACAAACCATACTATTGTGTACCTGGATGTAATTTTCTGTGGAAGGCATCTGGAAAATTTCAATGATGGAAAATAAAAAGTAAAAGAAAAACTTTAAAAAATGAAAAAAAATGAAACATGTTTGAACAAACAGAAACAAGACCAAGACACAATTGTGTATCCTGACACAATGGCACAATTGTGTATCCTGACACAATTTAAAAAAAATGTTAAATTAAAATAATAAAGTAAAACATATATACAAATTATTTTAATTAAAAATAAAAATAAAAAATAATTTAAAATAAAATAAATATTTAAATTAAAAATTATTATAATTAAACATAAAAATAAAAAAAAATAAAACAAAATAAAAAATAATTAAATTAAAAATAAAAAATATTATAATTAAAGTTAAAAATAAAAAAATAATTAAAAACTAAAGAAAACAAAAAATGAAAAAAAACTTACACCAAAATCCTGTGGACACAAAACTGTACCCCTCGATCATTTCCAAAGATACAAAATATTTTTGGAGTCTGTGGACACAATTCTGTATCCCCACACAAATCTGTATCCCACATTATATACGTATATATATATATATATTTATATATATATTATACACTCTAAACCATACCCAATTGATCAATGTTAAGATTGCCACAATGGTGGAACAAGGTGATTATACCTTAATATTGTTATATATTGGCCTTTTCGCCCCTGGAATCTGGGTTGTTGGGAGCGAACAGTGTTTATACACTCGCTGGACGAACCCATCCCTGTCATCAAAACTGTGCTTTTCCAGCAACTTTCCCAGATCGATCCTTCGTTTAACCCCCAGAAAGACAAAAAAAACAAGTGTAAATGTGTATAATTTCAACTCTTTTAGATCTTTGAGTCATCCCTAAGCATTGTCGACGCACATTTTTGAATTCCTGTTACTACAACATACGATTTTCCTTCAACATGTCTAATATTATTCTTCAATTTCGTCCGGCGATCCCCCTTTAACATCGTGCCGAAAATTGTGACCACAGGCCACTAGCTGGAACTCCAGGACAGGAATCGGACACAGGTTGGCTTAGCCATTTCAAATTTCACCATAATGTCATCATGGATTTTTATGAATCACCATTCATTGATTGATGTTCATAGAAATGGTGATTTAGCCTATTTGTATTTCATGAATCAATAGATTTCCAGAACACCCAGCAATGATCTGATATATAAATATATAAATTTAAATATATACATAAATAATCATAAATATATATATATATATATTTATATTACAGCCCAGCACAAATGGTTATAGTCAACATGGCGATTTAACTCAACCATTCAAACACGGGCGTAGAACCAACGGGTTAATATTTGAGTGTACGTGGGTCTGTCGAGAAATGGTCTAAGGCTATATCCCTAAAATATCCTAAAGTGATAATTTTAATGGTTACTCTTGTGATGATAAACAACTTGGATTTTGGGGTGGAACACATTTGGGCAGACCCATTTGTTTCGGATCGGCGTTTGGGATCAAGCAAACCATTGACAAATATATCACCATCAGAATAGTAGGTACTGACTTTCAATCTCATTACAGACCTTGACAGTCTGACAGGTTGGTGAAATAGGGATGATTTTCCGCGCATCGAATCTTCACTTCCATGACAGGTCGTGTCCAAGTCTATATTTCACACCAACAAACTGGTATAGTTCAGGGCATCTAATGCTAAACGGCTACGCACAAAACTATCGTTATCCCTATGTCATGATGATGATGATGATCATCATCATCAGCAGCAGCATTGCACCAACCAAAACCTTTGACGAGAACATCCCTCAGTGCCAATCCGCCATCCCAAGAATGGCAGCTAATATAACTTCATCACATTTCATCACGTTGATAGACCATCAGTGTTTCGTATGTATGGTGTCAGCAGGATTCCTGCTATACCCCCGCATGGGTGATATATCAGAGCCATTTTTGGTACCACAGAACGATCATCATTTTTAAGGCTCACTACCATATAGTCACCATAGTCACCACATAGTATTTTTCCATATAGTTACTGTACCATATAGTCACCATTTTTTGTATGTTCAACCATAGAGTGAAACCATAGAGTTACCGTGAGGTACCATATGGTTTCTATACCCATGACGGATCCATATGTCTGCTATATATGGTGCTCCATGGATCCCATCAAAAAATACCCCAGTCATGTTAGCATTAATATACCAGACATGGATCCGTCATGTGTATTGCTATATAGAAACATAAAGTTTCCATGTGCTGACCGTCATGGGTATAGAAACCATAAAGTTACCACCTGAGAAACGATTGCTGAATCTTGACCAGGACTCTGGAAGCCGAGCCTCAGGCCTAACGTCCGGTTTTGCCCCACTAAGAGGTGTCGTGTTTTGCTTCCATATATATATATTATATTATTATTATATATTTACAATATGTTATATATTTACAATATATTATTTATATATTATGTATATGATATATATTATTAAATTATATTATTACTTTATTATTTTTTATTATACAGACAGTTTGACCATCATATGCGAGATTGGCAAGAGGGTTAAGCCTCTTGCCCTGGACCCAACGGGACATCTTTTATAGCGTACATTCCGCCCCAGCGATGTCTTCAGTTTAGGGTGCGACCGTATTCGCACCTCCCTTTATGTATATAAAGTTTAACCCCAAACCCCAAACTTTCGGGTCCTAAGGAGGTGCGCTTCGCATTAAGGAATTAGGGAATTAGTGTTATGTATTTGTTTTGTATTTGGATGCTTTAAACAGCTTCCAACCCTAAAATTGGAAGAAGTTATATAAGGGTTGAAAGGCTTAGAATTAGGGATATTAAAGGTTTAGAGCCTTCAACTTAAGGACATTATAAGGGTTTAGGGCCTTAAAATTAAGGAAATTAAGGGTTCAGAGCCTTAAACTTACGGAAATTAAGGGTTTAGAGCAGTAAAATTAAAGAAATTCAGGGTTTTGTTGCTCCAGATTCCACAGCCAATATATATATAATTTTTAAAGGTATTACAGTAGCCATATGCTCCATGTATGGAATATTTACCAACATTTGCCAGGCCGAGGCGGGGGAGGATGGCATGGCCAAGATCGAGGCGGCTTTCCGGTTTGGGCGCTCCGGGAGGTCTGGAAGCGCTTCCGAATGGCGAGATTCGGATAGATAGGTAGATGTATACTATATTTATTATATATACATATTAAAACATATATATATATATTTAATATTAAGCATGGCTCAATTATTTTTGGATGTTTTTTTTCCAATCACCAGTATAATTGGTTCCCATCTGCAAGGTCCAAGGCCTTTGGGGCATTTCTGTGAAGGTTTCCAGTGAAAAACACCACATCTCTTAGGAGATCATGAAACGCATATCATCTATATGCAGTTTTGGTGAGTAGGGGGCATCCTCCCCAAACGACCTCTGAAATAACAGGTAATCCATGGTAATCCGTTGAATTCAGCTATATGCATGATCATTGCCCGGTTTGGGTTGCCACAGGATGCCAAAGGGCTTAAAAAATGCATTTTTTTTTGTAAGTCATAGCAATGATAATTCTGTCATATCAACGATAAACTATTATAATCATCTATGTCATGTCAATGACACAGATGATAACAATGAAACAATCACTTAATCAATATGGTTGGTACAACATGTTGAATGGATAATTCATCTATCTGGGTAAATTATAACGACCTCACTGTGACCTCACTGGAATCATGGTTAGTAAGGGAAATCATCCCCAAATGGCCGAACAATTCAGGTTAGTGAATTATTATAATTTACCCAGATCTATATATATATATATAATTCATCTATAAATGGGTATGTCTGAAAATGGGGTATACCCCCAATTATAGCCATTTAGTAGGGATAATGATCATTAACCATTGGGTGTAGGGGTACACTATTTTCAGACAAACCCAAATATTAGAAATGGACCATTTTCTCTAGCCATGTTCAATCACCGGAGGGTAGCTTTGCTCGGCGCAGGCGGCGTTGGCGACGGCCGTGGTGGTGTCAGGGCCTTTTTTGAATGTTGGGTACCCGTGAGAAACCTATTCTGATTGGTTGTTTGGAACATGGTTTTTATTTTTCCATATGGGTATGGATCAATACCTATTAATACCATTTTTAGGGGAATGAACATCCATTTACCAGCTATTTTGATGTGAACTACAGGGGTACAAGGTTTTGACACACTGCCATATATTGGGAATAATGATCCCAACTGACTAATATTTTTCAGAGGGGTTGAAACCACCAATCAATATTTTTTCATGTTTTAAACAGCAAAGATGGAGGTGGAAAAAGATCCACAAACATGATCAAACATGGAGGTTTTTCAGCCACGATCATAGCGGATCCCAAACAATACTTAACTCGAAAAAAACAACGTTTGACCCACTTAATCATGCGATATCATTGGACATCAGATGAACACAAAAAACAAAGACGGGTTTGATATTTTCCCTTTCCGTTTTGGTTCTTTCCCTTCCCTGCTGTCCTTCCCCCCCAGTTTGGTACTCCCCTTCCCATCAGGTTTTTGCCTTTCCCTGAAAGCTTGTCCCTTGCACTTGCTGCACGTGAACCCGCACCGCTTTGAACAGCTTTCAACAGGCACTTGTATGGGACAAACATGGCTCCAGTGAAACATGAAACGCAGAAGCATGGACAAGCATGGTACCCTCTGGTAAATAAACATAGACCCTGAAAATCACTATTGTTTAATGGAAACTAGTCTTCCAACCCCTATCTGCCAGGGTCTATGTTTATTTACCAGAGGGTATCTCTTGAATTTTAAATATTCAAAACCTTTGACAACCTATGCCCGCAATTGGTCTTTTACTCAGCAGTAGGGGAACCTAAGCCGTTCAGGGACGGGCAAACCACTCAAAAAAGAAGGGAAAAGGCCAATTTGGGAACCCCCAGAACCACCCGGTTGGGAAGAGAAAAAATCCTGGGAAGGGAAAAACTGACTGAATATAATGATATTATATATATATATATATGCACACACAGGCGAGTATATCCCACATATAAGATACTCGTATCATATATATTAAGTGGGTGAACTAACCAAGGGTATTCACTGATGAGTTTGTGCACCTCCAACGGTTGCCAGAGACAAGGCAACAAATCTTTACCTTTCTGGAGCTGGCGGGTGGTTCCGGGCGGCAGGCACGACGTTTTTGGGATTTGAAGCACCAAAAACGATGCCAGAAAACGGGGTAATCCCAAAGAAAAATGGAGGTTGGAATGGAACCATCAACGCTACATGGCAGGTTTGTTGATTGCAATGTTTGATGTTTCGTGTGGTAAACCCAATGTCATAAACCTATTATTTGGGGATAATGGTTACCCAATGTTACCCATTTATATATGGTGATTAGGGACGGTTTAGGAATTGTGATTCACCAACTTGGGGAAAAATCTGGAGACACTATGAGAATATCATTATTTTTGTTAACTACGGGAATATCAATATTAACATTAACAATTATTAATTATTGCACGTTTCTGTTAATGTGAATAGGTCACAAACGTCATTCCGTTCCTGCCTCAGGGGACAAAAAAATGCTGCACCAGTTGGGGCACAAGCCCCGAACCCATGGAATCCGAGTACCATCCCGAACTCTCCGGATCTCCACATGATACCCTTTGGTAAACTAACATAACTATGGAAAATCACCATTTTTCATGGGAAAATCCACTATAAATGGCCATTTTCAATAGCTATGTTAATTTACCAGAGGGTACATGACACATCATGACACCCATTCGCAAGGCTGGCAACACCATCACTGCGTTGCTGGGAAAGCTGCAGGAGGCAGAAACCATCGCGACGCATTGTTGTTCGTTGAAAGTACCGATTGGAAACCATCGACATATCCGATGCCAAACTGCTGCCAGAAAGGCAGCCTGATCAGCCTGAGAATCAGGTACCATCTGGTTATTTAACATAGCCATGGAAAATGGCCCATTTATAGATGGTTTACCTATCAAAAATGGTGATTTCCCATGGCTATGTTAAATAACCAGAGGGTATATCATACACCAACATACAAGCCCCATTCTTTGGATGTTTTTGCCTGCAAAACTGACCAAAAAGATCCTCATCCATGAGGTTCTCTTCCTCAGAATTAGATGAAGGGACAGATTGCAGGAAATCCTCATACTTACTGGTAAAAACCATGGTTTCCTGTAAAATTGACATGAATCCGTTGACAGCAAGAATCCCCCAATTATCCCCCATTTTGGCAACAGATTTGAGTTTGCTGGTTCATATCAAACACCGTGTTTCCCCCTACATAGTAACCCCCAAAAGATGCCGGAAAACATTGCCAGGATGCTAAACAGATATTGTCTTCCCCTCCATTTCCAGGTTTCCAACTATTCGCCAGCTTTTTGGTGCTGTAAATCAACCCAACGCCTTTCATCCAGTTGGCCCGGGATCGAGAGCTTTGGATCCATCGCTGTCTCGCCGAGAAGGAGCTGCAGTGCCCACGGCGCAATGCGGTGGTGGGTAGAATGGTGCCGCCTCTCGTCCCTGGTCATGTATGCTAATTTAATAAGTCTGACCCCCGAGATGGGGGTTCCTGTTGGTTTGAGAACCAGCCACTATGAATTTAATTTTTAGGAAAGGTTGGCACTTTCGTGGTCTACTGTATAGGAAGATGCAACAGTCGAAAGCACTCTCTTCACTGGAAGGCGACATGTTTTTAGCGTTTGGGACTTGAATCGTACAAGATTTGGCAACTTTCTCTGTGCAATGAATGGGGGGCCCCCTATTTAAGGCCTGAGGACCCTCTAGATTGACTCGTTTTGGGCTTCGCTGCAGTCTTAGAGGTACGCCAGCAGCCTTTGCAAGAAGGGCCTGCACGAAAGGCCTTGTCTTGAAGCGCACGATTGAACTGGGTAAACAATCGGTTCATCTCGAGCTAGATATGGAGAAATAATGACAAATAAGTTATTACAGATTATTACAGCAAAATAGTCACTTTCTTATCTGTTTTTGCAGGCTATTGAAGATTAGCCATGTTTTCAGAAGCACATGAACCGGTAAACAGGATGAACACGTTTTTTCATGGGCATAGGGAGCGTCGGGAGGGTGAACATTTCAAGTAGTTTTTGCTTGCCTGGCTGATGTGGAATTCCACTAAGCCATAATCGTCCAACATCTACATCTCAAGATTCCCAAGATTAGCACAGCGAATGTCAAGCTAATGCCTTGCAGGACATTTGGGACAGTTGGTTCTTGCAGAAGTAAATCTTCAAATTTGCAGTTTTTTTGTAAACCATTTTGTTGAAGATTATATATACTATATATATATATAGCCACTAGTTGGGTGATATAAGGACATTTGCCATCTGTTGTTGTTGGAAGATTCCAGGAAAAAAACATACATACCTCTTGATGTTTGACTTTCAGGTGGTGATAAGGCCAGGGACGAGTATGGTGGTGATGTGCTTAAACCCAATAGTACACCATACAAAAGTTGGTTGAAACATGTATACACATTTACAAGCAATACCATTTGTAGACACATATAAAAACAGTTGTTTTATTTGTGTTTTTTTTTAATGAAGGAAAAGAGGTCCTTGAACAAACCTCCTGCAGACTTTGTGAACTGGCGCCAGGTTTTTAGCCACTCCGCTGCCAGAGACTGCTGCGTGCAGATGAGGGCAGTTTGAAAAAGATGGGGATGGGTCTAAAAACAAAAACAAATAGCAAAACATTTGTTGCAACATTGTTCATTTTTTTGTTCTTTTGTTTCATGAAGTATCTTGCATCCTTTTTTTCTTAGAGGCAATGGTGTCCTAAATTTTCGACCCAACCCCATTCGCATTACCTGCATGATGCGAATCGCTTTGTGGAGAAAACATGTGATTCCTGAAAGCGGCCAAGAAGCGCGGGAGTTTGAGTTTCTAGGGTACCCAAAAATTCAAAATCACCCAAAATTCAATGGTTTAGAATCTTATTTTCCCATATCATCACTGTAAAAAATTGCGATTATGGAGGTATACCCACCATTTTCGGACAAAGCTATTTGGTGCGATTTGTGTTTTTCAAAAGGAATAGATGATTGACAATGCCCGACGTCTATATACAGATATACATGAGAAGCTGACGTCTGATTGGTCATTGCCCTAAACGGGGCATCGATGGGTTGATTGAGACATATTGAGATTCCAGTTCTAGTACCCTCTGGTTATTTAACATAGCCATGGAAAATGGCCCATTTATAGATGGTTTACCTATTAAAAATGGTGATTTTCCATGGCTATGTTAAATAACCAGATGGTAGGTGTTCATTGTCAATCCAACAAGGAGATCCTGGCCAGGACAGTCAGTACTGTCAGTGATGGGCGTTTCAAACACTCGCGCAGCTCCATGATATTGACCCCTGGAATGAATGAACAGAATGAACACGTCAGATGTGCCCACGTGACACACCTGTTTAGTACTGTATTGGTTTTGTTCAAGAAAAAATGCGGTTCCCTTTTTTTTGGGCTCTTGTTGGGTGGGAAGGATTAATACGGTTAATGCCGCGATTAGTGCGAGAAATATCACGGCTTTAGTGATTCATATGTGATCCTAGAGCTTCTAAATCTCAAAATATTTTGGTCGATGCTCTTTGTGCTACTTTTTCTGATCGACAGTCCAAGAAGTAGACGTTTGAGTCGTTTCAGATTGTTTTAAGCCAAAACCATACGTTTCACAGAAAAGTAGGCGACCCAGCTATTGAAGGGCAAGATTTGCCCCCTAACCCACCTGCCATGTTGGTACCCTTTACCGCCTAGGCAAGTCTTGAGCAAAATCCACTTCAAGGTAAAACCATTGAAATTATGATGTAAATCCATATGCACTACAGCTTCAGTGTCAAATGTAGCAATTAAGCAGCAAGATTTTGCAGATGTGAATGTAGTCACGCTTTCTGCTCCTGCTAGGTTTCCCTGCCTGGGTCAAAATGGCTACGAATTTGCTGAAGCTTATGGAAATATCATGTTTTGAAGCAAATCCTCTGGAATCGTAAAAACCATGATTGACCTAGTTTTTGGGATTTGTAGCTGTTTGATGGTTTTTGAGGTCGTTTGCTGGGATTTTGAGGTCGTTTTGAAGAATTTTGTCGGCGCAAACTTTTGTCGTTTTGTTCATGAAAATCCATGAACATCATTGAAAATCTGTAGATTTCATATGATTTACATCTCAAATCACGAATCAAGTTTCTAAGTCGCCAGTGGTCCCAGAAAATGGCTAGGACTTTGCCAATGGTTATCCCAATCTATCCCATATTCTAAGATCATAGTAGTAATTAAGTGGTTATCCCAATCCAAGAGATGATCAATGGCTAATGAATCCAAAAGTATCCCCAAATCATCAAATTTAATCTCTCAACATTGGGATTCTTGACTCCAAGTGCTGAATGTCTCATATGGACCCATTTGGCCCATAACTGGTCGATTTAAGAAAAATCAGTCGATGTGGTCAAGGACTACTTTTTTTGCCCGATATCTCAAGAAATGGTAAACAACATAGTCTACCAAAATATTCTTATACAATCGAAGATCTAGGATAATACTTAAACATATGTCTTTGAACAAAAGATTGAAATCCAAGAGATTGGGGTTGAACATGGACCCAAGATACCTCGATTTCGGGTGGAACAATCCACCAGCATTCTGTCACATCATCTCTTCCCGTTCGCCGGTCTCAAGGGGCCCGTCTTTGGACAAGGAGCCGTTTCCTCCTGCCACAGCGGGAAACCTTTTTTGACACAGGATCCCAACAGAATTCCACACGAAAAAAACCCGCCATCTTTGAGAGTGCTTCCAGTTCTTCACTGCAACGTAGACTAGCTGAAACATGCTAAAACTACGTAAAGTCCTGAGCTACTTCAACATTTTCAGTATTCAAATGTACTGGACTACTTATTAGCAATCAGCTTGTTGCAGTGAGATCTTCACATTTCTTAGTTGAACAATGTCAGCCGATCCTCTTTTCAACCACGTCTTGTCAAGTGCTGCTCAACATCCCTGCGGACGTCCGCGCACAGCGGCGAAGGAGATGGGTGGGACATATGTGCCATGCATTGTTGATTTTCCCATGAAAAGGGATGGTCATCCGCTTCTTAATAAGAATATTACATATATATACATTATAACCATACATATTTATATTTAATTATATGTTATATGTTATATACTATACAATATGTATTATACATTATTTATTACATATTACTTATGCCAAATTTATCCAAATTCTAAGGATCCCCAGCATGGGATTGATGACACCCATAGAAAACATGTCCAGTTTGCCGCTGACCTTGTCGTGAGCGGTTGATCGATACACCCATGATGACAACTGGCATGGAGATCAATGTGGCGACCAACATAGGACATCAATATGTCATAATATGTCAACCTGAAAACCATGGAACAGGAAACAGATGGACGATTTTTGACGATTAAGAATATGTGCGATATATAATATTGTACGATAGTATATAGGCTGTGACATAATAATCCCACTGATACTTAAACTTCAAAGCTCTATCGGAGCCATGCAGCGTTCCTGACGACCAACGATGGGCGATTTCCTGCGTGGAGATGGAGATATGAGGATTTCTGAAGTAAAATCTTACACCAACCTTTTTTGCCGTTTTTGTTTGGGGGATTACTGTTTAGTACAAGCTGGTGCCCCAAAAAATGTGTGTTGATTTTATGTTAATTACATTTAATTACCTCATCACGATATAGTTATTCCAATATTTCATGTTATTTCATCGCCATAGACCCTAGTGCAGCTAGTATAAACCACTTTGCTAACAAACTGAGGCACCACTACTGGTAACTATTGATGATCTCAAATCCATTGTCCAGAGAAATTGGAAGCATGTGAGTCGGCAACTGCTGACTTTTATCTACATACTAGATCATATACTAGTATAATCGATATATTTAGTTGCTGATCTAGTATATATATATATGTATTTATAATCTAGTATATATAGTTATATATAGTTATATACGTATTTTCATGCATTATTTGCCACACACATCCACAATTTCACATTTCACGATGTTGGGACGGATCCTTTGGCCCCAGGAGTTCCAGGCCTTGCGATGTCAGGTGCCGTGGGATTTGGCCACCGTATTACAAGGATAATTACCAGCTATTACAGATACCCTCTGGTTATTTAACATAGCCATGGTATAGATGGCCCATAGAAATAGATGGTTTACCTATTAATAGCATGGTGATTTTCCATGGCTATGTGAAATAACCAGATGGTAGATTAACTCTCCAGCTATTTGGCTAGCGGGCTTCCAACACGCTAGCCACTAGTGTTGTGACTCTGGAAGTGGAGTCACTAAAAATTTCCAGATGACTTCAGAGATATCCACAGCTTGGATGGCTTGGATGACCACTTGATCATCATTAGTGTGGTTTGATAGGCAGCTACAGTAAATCTGTAAGTTGTGAATGGAAGGGGGGTCATTTCTCAACGCGAGAAAATGGTCATTTTACAACGCGGTATTTAGGTCATTTTTCAACGCGCCAGAGGTCATTTCCATGGAACATCACCATTTTTTGGAACGGTAAATCAACGAACTATATAAATGGACATGTTCAATAAATATGTTGAATTACTTTAGACATCTTTAGAGGGTATCCCATAACTCCACTGCCCAGGCGGTTCTTGAACTAGTAAAACCATACAAAATCATGACATTCCCAGCATTTTGTTCGTGCACTTGGTGCCGACCATGGGCTGCACCGTTGTGCTTCCATCGCTGTTTCGTCAGGTGATGGCACCTTTATGACAGCAATTTGGCAGCAGGAAAGCTACCCTGGTGGGATAATCCCCAAGATATCTGGTTCCCACCAATTTATATCCTTTGCGAATTTGTGATATGGGATTTAACACTACCCCAGGGCTCATCCGAGCAGATGTTTTAACCGCGACGCATGGCCGTTTGCAGATGAACGATTTTACACCAACCTCCACAATTATATATAATATATGCATATATATTGTATTTTAATATATATATATAATATTTGATATATATATATATATGTAAATAAATAAATAAAAATGTGTATCCAAATATTCCCTACCAGCCATGGGAAGGCAATCGGAGCTACGCGTTGAGTTTCCCACATGATCGTCTGCCGCCTTTGGGGATCCCATCATTATCATTGTTCCATTTGTGAAAAAATGCACTTCACTGAAATATAACTTCTGATCTTATGTTCTTAATATTATGTACAATATAATTATATGATATATATATATATGTATTATAGATATTATATATTATACATATATATATATATTTGTATATATTATTTAATATATATATATATTTATATTATACATATATATATATATGATATGTAGTGTGTATATATATATATTAAATAAATAAATAAATATATATATATATATTATATAATTTGATTTTCATTTGTATGAAACCTCGCATGTTTCGTATTCCATGATTCATTTTTTCTCTCCTTTTTCATCTCTTGACCAGAAAGCTGATCCATGGCCAGCTGCCAAGGCTGATGGGGCAGAACTTACGGTCCTTGCTGAGAGGTGAGCGGGGGAACTTTGGGAAAAGGCTTGAGGTTTCCGACACTTTTACTGACCATCACAATACTGGGTTCAT